CGCCGATGGGGACGTTTCGCGCGGGACGTTCCTCCTCGCGAAACGTCCCCGGCGGCGAAGAGCGAGGAGAAACGGATGTTTTCGCAGGCTAATACCTGCCGTGATGGCTTTGTATGTAAGGGAAAAAATCCTATCACCAAAGGTTTTGTAAAAAGAAATTCTTGCCCAAACCAAATCATCCATATCCCCCGTCAAAAGTCAAAATTGTCGGCGCCCAAACAGAATCAGGTCCGGTTCAGACGCCGAACTTTTCATGAGCCGAACCTAATGCGAATTAAGGCCGACCAGACGCTGATTTTGATTGCTTTTTGGTCAAACTGCTTGCATATACGTTATACTGATTTATGCATTAGGTTCGGTACATGAAAAGTTCGGCGTCTGAATCAAAGCCGTTCCATAGTCGCTCCAGAGGCGAAATTCCCGGCCGGGCTAGGCGAAAAGAACGGCTGAGCCGTTCCAAACTGAAACAGGCGTTCCTAATTGATTCAGTCGCCGAACTTCTGAACCGGGCCTCAGAGTGTCCTGGGGTAGAGTGATGACGTAACATGTCACTGTTGTCTCTAAAGTGAAAGTGGAAAGAAAGTGATATTCACAACAAATTGAACGAGTTAACCAAATGTTTATTTGCGTGCCAGTCACCAGGTGTTAAGAATTCTTCGAACATGGGAACTACAACCTCAAGCTGCCATGTTGAAGAAACAGTAGCTTCACATTATGACCACGCTCCTGTTTTAGAAGAGAAAATAGACGGATCGGCCAGTTTACGACTCCATAGGATCACCTCTTATCGTTTCGAGGCTATCCTTTACAACCCCCAATACTCCCCAAACTGTTTTAGTCTATATCGATTGGCTGACGAAGTAGAAGCCAGGAAGAAGTTCAAGTAAGCTACCTTTACTTATCTGCTCTATGTTGTGCTTTTCGTTGGCTCAGGTTGTATAAATTGAGCGAATCCGGTTATTATTGTTTTCATTTATTTACACTTTTAACGTTAATCACATGCAAGGGTTACTCAGGCTTAATTTTTATGTCAAAGTGGTTTTTCATTAAATTAACTGTTACTTGAAATTTTTTCGGGTGTGTGGAATCATTTTTAGCCACATAAATAGTTTAAATACATTTGTATAATTATATTTTGTTCGCAGAGTATTTTATGAGAGACTTGCACCATTTTACCTGAGTTCTGCCAAGTGTTACAATACTGAAGTTCTTCAAGAACTTACCTCCTGTTTGGAGCAGCATCCTGATTGGTCATTAGCTCATGTGGCTTCACACGTGAACCTGACAGAGTGTTTAGAGAACAAGGAGATAGCAGATACTGTGGACAGTGCATGCCAGGATAAACAACGGACACCTCTACACCTTGCCTCTAGGGTGAGGCTCTCTATTACACGTAGCTCTTATGCACTAGTCAATTGCAACCCCAACCCCTAAACCCCCGCGGATAGTGGGGATTTTACCGAGCAATAGTGGGGCAAATACGTTGATTTTACATTCATTTCTTGCACTAGCTCCTGGGAAATTATCCAGGGTGGGGAGTCAGTTGACCATGATCAATGACGTCAAGCCTTCATGAAGGCTGTGACCTTCAATGCAAACTAGCAGAGTTTGAAAGGCATTTTAGCCACTCCCTCCTGAAACATTAACGTTTGTATATGGCTTTTTTTTTGTATGGAGGAGAGATACAATGCACTCAATTCAAATATTTGATCAGTTAAAGTGGGTCATTTTTAAACTTAAATTATATAGTGGTTTGTTAACAGACAGCTAATCTGGGAGGGGTAATTACCATGTGAATCTGTACCTCGGGCCTGAGGTAAATCCTTTAAATTACGAGGATACTTTTGTAAATCTCCCCACTATTCCCCGGGGGTTTGGGGTAGTGGTTGCAATTGACTAGATAGTGCATTACAAGCTCTCCTTAAGCCAGATTGTGATGCCAAAATAATTGTTGTCCTAAGCTGAACTTAGGCTACATTCAAACAGCACTCGCCAAATTTTCAGCCTGTTTAAAGTCGATCTGTGTGTTTAGTTGTTCTGTTCATACAGAACCACCTTTAATAATTGTGCAATAATTTAGATGCCTAGCCATTCAAAGTTCCGTGATAACAGAGCAATGAAAATGAATGGTTTCGTGTGAAGGAACGTGACTAGTCAAATGTTTCAGCTAGTCAAAAATTCATCCAGTGTCATGTGAATGTAGCCTTACTTCAAATTTTAGGCCATGGTCATGTTGTTGGTTCAATTTTATCCTTGGTTTCAATTTCATTTTTCTCTGTTTCAAACTCATTTCATACATTACCATACCCAAAAGCAAAGGAAAATAAAATTTAAACCAAGGATAAAATTGAACCACAACAGTTACATCACTTATAGAAGGTTAGATCTTCTGTCCATAACGTAGGAAGATAAACATTGATTATTTTTGCCTCAGAGGCATCTGATTTTGCAAACTTAAACTTTTTTCCTTTTTCAATACAATGTGCAAAGGTCTACTTACTTGTAATTTTTGCTTTTAATACTTAGAGTGGTAAACTGGAATTTGTTCAAAGTCTGATGGATTTTGATCCAAAGCTCCTGGTTAAGGACAAGTTAGGTAACACTCCTCTTCACTATGCAGCTGAAAAATACCCAGAGGTATTGAACACATTGCTGAAAAAGGCTCAGGAATTAGGTATGGAAAATGCCCAGTGCAGTCAAACCGTAATGACAGAGCTGAGCTGTATGTCTGCCAATTAACTTTTTATCTTATGCCAACCTGTTCATGCCTTCTGGCTACATTTTTGTGCCTTGCTGAAAAGTGTGATCTACATGTATTAAAGCCTCAACTAGCACTTTTTCGTGAAAGAGATACTGATGAGGTGTCACTACCCAGACCTGAATAGTGCTTCTAATTCGTTAGAGCAAATGTTCAACCAATCAGAAGCACTATACCCTGTACTCAGATCTGGGTAGTGACACATCAGTATGGAATTTCTGTGTTGGTTCCTCAGGCAGGTACAGGTATTATTTACAACTGTTGTTTTGTTTAATACAGAAGTCAACATTACATGTATAAGCTAAGGTAAGATTGATGAAGATAGTTTAGATGCAATGTTATCTGGTCATTTCCCTGGAAAAGGAGCTTTCAAGACATAACAACTAGGAAAATGTTGAGACTTCTGTACAGTCAAAATGGCAAATCTTACGCATAAAGTCACCGCATGTGAGCTCAGTGAGTGTGAAACCTTGATGTACAGCCTGTAGTAACGCTCCCATATATCTAATGGTTTTCTTTGCCCTAGTTACAGTACTTGTGAATTGTAAGAGGAAAGATTCTGAAGTTCTATTGTAACTCTTTATTCCCAAAATACAGATAAAAATTCTCCTGACTGATCTTTATAGATTTCTTTAAATAGTTATTTAAATAACTTTACAAAAGATGAAAGCAGTTTTTCTTTGGTTATCATTTTAACAATTTTTGGCAATGTATGATATTGTTAGGAGAACATGTCATCAAAATTTAACAACTGCATTGCTTAGTGGAGGTGGGTGCCCGGGATGTCCAGGGGCCTCACCTTTTGGCACATCCAACCCCTAGACAGAGTTATGCCCCCATTGCTAGCAAACCTGTGCCCTCCAGCCATGAGCCCCCATGCCAATGGAAACAGGCACCTGTCAAACAGATTTATCAGCAGAAAAATAAAGGGGTGGAGGGATAGAGGTAAAAAATGATCCAAAGACTAAATGAAGAGAGTGGCTGCCAGGAAAACACTGTACTGAGCACATGGGGGTGACGCAAGCAAGGCTGACCGCGCTTGAGCCAAACGACTGACCAAAATTACCACTGACCATGCACGTGCTTCTCGTTAACTGTGTTAAGTATATATATTTTACTTCATTTAATGTTTCATTAGCTAAACGAGTCTTACTAGTCTATGTCTCTTCCATGATATTTTTTGGTGAAATTTGTTTTGTGTTTATGTTACCAGGTAACCATGTGGCTGAAGTAGTCAATGCAACAAACTCCAGTAACCAATCTGCTTTGGATGTGGCCTGCCGCTATTCCCAAGAAGACAGTGTTGAAATGCTACTGAAAGCAGGAGCAGATCCTAGTAAACCCCATGAAGGATTCCATCCAATTCACACTGCATTGAATGCTCAGAGCCTTGCTTGTGTTGCGACACTCTTAGAGTTCCACCCTGAGCAGGTTGATGTTCGTGATACAAAATATGGTGGAGCTCCATTACACTGGGCCAAATCAAAGGAGGTCAGTAATACAGCTGAACCTTCATTTGCGAAAAAAAAAAAATAGAAATAAAAATGGTCTGAAAAGTTTAAATAATTTGTTAATCATGAGTTGTAACATTAGTGGAATTGCATCATGTACATATCATCATATATTGTTAATTCAATTGATCACATACTGTATTACTTGAAACACATCTTGTTCTAAATTATTGAAAGTAATGTGTTTCATCAAAGAATGTAATGTTATTTTTAGTCCAGCTTTACTGGCTTCAAAGTGACATGAATTTAAATTTAACAAAGGTTAAAAACGTCTTGATGCTAGACTATCAAAAATATTTGATTTTTTGAATTATTATTCTGGGAGTGGTCTTAACAGTTTTTTTTATAATTATGGTTATCCACTCTAGGTTGAATTGCAATAGCTGCAATTTTATTTTTATATATATTTTTTATATATTGATATCATAATTCTATGAAGTAAATGTTTTGTTTATTGTGGAAGTGCTGTCTGTTTTTCATGCTTAGTTCAAGCTATTTATAAGCATCATCAGGCCATATAGTGTTGAAGTCAGGATACCGATAGCCTGCCATCATGCTCTCCTGGATTAATTTATGCAAAAAATGACAATAATTAATTAATAAAATAATGCCTGCAGGTGAAACTCAAGATGGACTGTATATTAGAAACAAAACCAGCCTGTCATCTGAGGCCTGGATTTGAAGGCAGGAACCCCAAATTGTAGGTCTAATCGAGTGACTGGTTGTCGAGAATGCTCTCCTTCACCCTCAAAAGCTAATTAAAGTAATTAATTTTTTTTACAAAGGCAGTTGAGCTACTCCTCGACAGTGGAGCTGACGTAGAAGCAAAGAATAATGATGGAGAGACAGCTCTTCATATCATGGCTCGCCGTCGAAGACTTGGCTGTATTATAGTGCTGTTGAGTCGAGAAGCTAATGTTAATGCTCAGAGCTCCGATGGTTCTACACCACTGCACCAGGCTGCTGCTGTAAGTGCAGCCTGCGCAGCAGGCATTCCAAGGGGGAGAGGGTAAGGGGGAATTTGGGTGCATGAAGAAAAAGAGAATGAAACTTGTCCCACTTCCTCTCTCCTCCCTTGTATACCTGATGGATTCCCTCTATTCCTTTTCCCTTCAAACCCCTGTCACGAAGGCTGTTAGTGCTTTTCATTTTAATTTGTTTTAAAAAAAAGTTTTTAACATCGGTTTTGATCTACCTGCACACGTTGCTAATATTTTTTGAAGCCTGGAGTAGAAGGAGGTGTTTTGAGTGTTGTGGTTTGAAAGATTTCATGCAAAAAGCTAGGACTAAAAATGTCCTTTTTAATTAAAGATGCAAAGTTTAATTTCTTGACTGTATTTGTTTTAGATAAAATCTGTTCTCAGGTAAGAGCATTAGAATTCAGAGTTTTCTTTGTTTCTTAGCTCTAATATTGTTCATAGGAGACAAAGAAAACTCCCGACAGGTTTGTAAACCCTAGAGAGGATTTTACCCACAACATATAGAAACAGGTCGCAGCTTTTAAAGTTGCATAGCATGTGATTTATTGGTTGTCATTATAAGTGCATTTAAGAAAAAAATCTTTATCAATATAAGGATAATTCCTGATTTTGCTAGGTTGGGGACCCAGACATAGTTCGTGCCCTCATTGTGTTTGGTGCTGATGTTAATATCACAAACAAGAGGCATGAAACCCCAAGACACTTGGCCACTTTACTTCGACAACAATTGTGGCGTGAGGTTGTGCGGGCTGTTGGATTTGTAGGCGCAGTGGCTTGTGATAAAAACAAGAATGGTTGCACACTTGAGTGTAGCGAACCGTTCCAGGAAGAAATGATGATTGGTAAGAAAACCATTCTTTCCTTGCAAACTGGTTGTTGGAAGGACATGGTATCACACCACGTCCACACGAATCTTGATGTTTTTGAAACTGCCTTTTTTCACACAAAGGGACCTTCCGTCTAGACTATGAGTAGTCCCCCATTTTTCCTCAGGGATAGTAGAGCGAGCGAAACGCGAGCGGGCGTGAAAATCACCCCACGCGAGAAAAGTCGCCTTTTCTCGCGTGGGGTGATTTTCACGCCCGCTCGCGTTTCGCTCGCTCTACTATCCCAGAGGAAAAATGGGGGACAACTCGTAGTCTACCTTCCGTCCACATGAAACCAGTGAATCTGCCCACCGAAAACGCATCTTTTTAAAAACCACCCTTCTAATGGTTTATGGCCCCGTCCACACGAATCGGAGTAACAAAAGATGCGGTTTCAAAAATGTCCGGATTCGTGTGGATGGCACCTTATTCTAAGAAAGGGCCTTTCCGCAATATAACTACAAAAACAATTTATTTGTTTCTTCTAAAAATCATAACAGTATTTGCATTTACCAATTTTTTTAAATGGGGATTCATCTGAAGGCTCTTTTTTAACAAACTGCTCACGTCAATCAAAGTGGAATAGAATAACTTAATTTTCGCGGGAAAACCGGAGTGACCATGGACGAAACCGAAAGCACATTTTTCACGAACGAAGCACAGACTATGATTTGCGCAATTTCGTTCATAAATTGACATTGCCCAGGCCGCGTACTAACTATTTGAAACAAAGTTTCAGTTACAGCAGTGCTTTGTTGTGGGAACTCTTTACCCGAAAATATAAGTGAAATTAAATCAATCAGGAAATTTAAAGAGCAAATCAATCATCTGTTTGAGTCGTCGGACTCTCACTCGGCAGTTTTGTAAAACAGTGTGTCACTAGTTTTTAGTTTAATTAATTGTAATTAGATTTTTACTCTATTATTACTGAAGATTTCTCCGAGTTTTAAATAAAGGATCTACCTACCTGCCGCGCCATAATCGCGGTAAAAGTTTTGATGGAATGTGCCGCGGCGTGTATTTAAGTTTAAACGTTTTCGGTGCGGGGTTTATGAAAGGGCGGCGTTTTTTTCAAAATCACATTTCTTCAATCACTAATGAATTAAACAGAAAGATATTCAAAGGTTATTTTTCTCGCTTTTCTGCTGAGAGAATCGTAATTTTCGGGATTGGGTAGATTACAAAGTTCCGAGTTTATCTTATTAACCCTCGAACAATCAGCCTCATTCGTCTGATTAGGTTCGGCGTTTATTCGAGGGCAGCGTTGCTTCCATCTGTGTCGATACATCAAGGGCGGCTTTTATTCGAGTAAATACGGTATTTGCTATTTGACCAATGCGTGTCGTCTTTGATATTTTAAATGGCCGCAATTTCTTCCCGAATTAAACCTTTATCCTTTTCTTTGCACTCAAAGGTGGCACTATTGCCAGTGCGGCCCCCACTTTACCAGGCTATCTAGACATCCTCAAACTTGCCGCAGGATTAGTGTCAGCTGGACTGCTTCAGTCAAGTGCTGGACAAGACTCAGTTGATTCTGGGCCTGGACGTCGAGGGTCCTACAATGAATCAATCTTCAAATCTCTGCACAAGAAAGAAGCCATTCTAACCATGGATGGAGGCGGAATCCGGGGATTGATATTAATACAGCTGTTACTGGCTTTGGAGGAGTTCACCAAGCAACCAATTGTGCGGCTGTTCGACTGGATTGCGGGCACAAGTACTGGAGGTATTCTAACTCTGGCTATCGCACACGGTGAGTTTAAAACGATCCAACTAAATCGGGAGAGTATCGAGAGCGTAGCTTAAAGTAAAGTAAAGAAGCCGATAAATTGTTTGAAAACAATTTATGGTTGCTTTTTTTGTGAGAGATGCATGTTAATGCTTTCAAACATTTCTGATATATTTTAAGTAATCTTCTCAAAACCAAAACTTGCAAGTTCAAATTTGATCTTGATTGTAGAAAACTTGTTAGATGCATGGTGGTAAGCAAATTACAACAGACCATATTCTATTAATATTATATTTATTTAAATTTATTTTCGTCAGTGTTGTAAACCCTGTTTGCGCATCCAGGAAAACGCCTGAGTGGTAGGCTGTTGAGTACTTTCAGTATCAGGCGAATCAAATAAGCCCTTTTCCTTTATAAATCTTTCCATGTGCTGTTTTTCAGGAAAGTCTGCTCGTTATTGTCAAGGCCTCTACTTTAGAATGAAAGACTTGGTGTTTAAAGGTCCCAGGCCGTATGATTCTGAACCACTCGAAAGATTCCTTAGACAAGAATTTGGAGATAATGTCAAAATGACATCCATCTTGCACCCGAGGTAAAACAACTTAATTATCTCTTACCTTCCACTACACTAATTTTTGCAGTAACGTTTATATCCTGCTAGCCTGCGTAGCAGGCGCTTGGAAGTAGTGGGCGCAAGAAAAAACGGGCTCGCGTGTCTTCCTCGCGCGCGCCCGTTCTCTCTTTCGCCCACTACTTCAAAGCGCCTGCTATCGTACTCGACCGTTTTGTTGTGAAGTTTGTCCCCTTCCACAAGTAGCCCTTTTTATCTGAAAACGGATTTGTTGTTTTTCTTCCGTTTTCAGAAAAATTCGCGTCTTTTAAGTTGCGTTTTTGAATCGTCTTTACCCTTCCACATGAAAACAAATTTATTGGAGTATGCGCATAATGGTATCCAACACCGTGACGTAATAGTTATTAAAAACCTCCGGTTTTATCTGTGTATACGAATACAGCAAATCGGCATTTTCAAAAAAACTCCACTCTGGAGAGAATTTTTGAAAAGATGCGTTTTCGTTGAACGCCGTTTTCACCGGATACGTATAGACGCCGGTAGGCCAAACCGGAGAAGAAATCTCTGCTTTCATGCGAAAACGGATACGGCGTGTAAGCGGGGCCTTTGTAAAGGGTAGACTAAGTACATGTGTATCAGGTTTTCCTTAGGGATAAGAGAAGAAGAGATTTCAAAAAACGCCTGATATTCGGGTTAATGAAGTGTTCATTTAGAGTTTAAGCCACATCACGTTTACGGCTAATAGCCGGTATTTCCACGCCATCATTTTTCCGGCGGTTTAGTACGCCGGCTTGCCGTTTATCTTTGACAGTTTTCATGCGGGGAGGGACGTTTTCACGTTTATGAAGAAAGAGTGAGAGAGAACTGTACTTTTTGTCCTTCTCGAACACTTGACCATCTTCGCCTGAATTTCAGACATCACTTACGAGTCGTTTACTCCCTCAGTGACGTCGTCACTGTAGGAGTAAACGACTCGATTGTCGGAAATTCTGTGCCGTTTTCTCTATTTGAATACTACCCACGCAATGGTTCTAAACACAGCTAAACACTAACGTTACGTCAATGGCAAAGGCCCTTATCGGAGGAAAATTATTAACTTTTTTCGGATTTTTCCCCTACAATTTAGAGTGCTTGTGACTGGAGTTTTAGCTGATCGCAGACCAGCTAGTTTACATTTCTTTCGGAACTTTGATGTACCAGATGACCACGATGAAGCTACCCATGCAAAATCTCCATTTCCGGCGCCGCCAAAACCTTCAGGTACCTTATAGGTTGTATATTGATAATTACATCGATTATGCAATGGAAAATAATCACTTGGACGTGACAAACTTTTGGAGGGAGTCAATCAAGACATTATTAGTGAATAAATGAGAAGTGAAGCAGAGAAAATATTATACATAGCTGGCCTCTTGTTAGTTTCCGTTTGATTTTGTTAAAGTGCGGAACAGTTACCTTTCGTATTGCATAGTAAATAGAGAAAAAACAGGGGCACCCAACGTCAATTTGCGGAAAATATCTGTTCGGAAGACGATTGGAGATCTAGAATTTTCGGAACATTTATTGTAAAATTCCTTGCTTGCCTGCCTCTCCTAGGATTTTCGAACATCTAAAAAATGGTATAATTACCCATTTTTAACGGATTTTTACCCTAAAAAGGTGACCTAGAATTTTCGGGAACCTTTTTTCTGGCTGAAATTTTCGGAAAGGTAAGTTTTGATCCCTATAATTTTCGGATCACTAGACTTTCAGCCGAGGGAATCCGAACAGATGAAAAATTTGTAGGGGGATAAAAATATGCCTATATCTACCGTTTAAATACTAAAATACGTTCAAAAATGCTATGTTTAAGTGGTTTTGAACTATATTCTCGTTGGGTGCCCCTGAAAAAACTAGTGAGCGTATTCAAATTTAGCGACAGCTTAAAATACTAAAAAGACATTTCATTCACGACAGAGAAAAACAAGTTGTAGCCTAGGAACATTGACCAGCATTCGTAAAGGAGAATCAAGCATCCCTTAAGTGTGCCAAAAAACCCACGTTTCTTCAGTTTGGGAAATCCCCAGGGGGTTGGGGGTACTCCGGATTTTAATTGACGGGGATGATCAAATGGGGGCAAAAATCAAAATTAAAAAATTAAAAAAATCTCTGGACCAAAAATTAACCGCCCGCCAAAAACCCCATGCCGAATTTCCGAGCCTTAGAAATTTCCAGTAATCATTTATGAATTGAAGCGTTGTTTACACCTCTTATATTAACCGGTTTCATAAAAGAGACGTAATGTTATGTGCTAAAAATTAAAACAGCCGCAAAACAAGCTTGCTTGTACTTTATTCGCTCGCGGCCAGGATACGCAGGGCCTATCGCGAATTTTCAACTTGTTTTGAATACCCAAAGTTTTCAAATTTTCCTACCCCCCCCCCCCCCAACCCTCCCCTTACCCCCACTTTTCTTTGCACTCAAAGGTGGCACTATTGCCAGTGCGGCCCCCACTTTACCAGGCTATCTAGACATCCTCAAACTTGCCGCAGGATTAGTGTCAGCTGGACTGCTTCAGTCAAGTGCTGGACAAGACTCGGTTGATTCTGGGCCTCGACGTCGAGGGTCCTACAATGAATCAATCTTCAAATCTCTGCACAAGAAAGAAGCCATTCTAACCATGGATGGAGGCGGAATCCGGGGATTGATATTAATACAGCTGTTACTGGCTTTGGAGGAGTTTACCAAGCAACCAATTGTGCGGCTGTTCGACTGGATTGCGGGCACAAGTACTGGAGGTATTCTAACTCTGGCTATCGCACACGGTGAGTTTAAAACGATCTGACTAAATCGGAAGAGTATCGAGAGCGTTGTAAAGAGCTGATAAATTGTTTGAAAACAATTGATGGTTGCTTTTTTTGTGAGAGATGCATATTAATGCTTTCAAACATTTCTGAAATATAAGTAATCTTCTCAAAACCAAAACTTGCAATTTCAAATTTGATCTTGATTGTGGAAAACTTGTTAGATACATGGTGGTAAGCAAATTACAATAGACCATATTCTATTATTATTATATGTATTTAAATTTATATTTGTCAGTGTTGTAAACCCTGTTTGTGCATCCAGGAAAACGCCTGAGTGGTAGGCTATTGAGTACTTTCAGTATCAGGCGAATCAAATGAGCCCTTTTCCTATATAAATCTTTCCATGTGCTTTCTTTCAGGAAAGTCTGCTCGTTATTGTCAAGGCCTTTACTTTAGAATGAAAGACTTGGTGTTTAAGGGTCCCAGACCGTATGATTCTGAACCACTCGAAAGATTCCTTAGACAAGAATTTGGAGATAATGTCAAAATGACATCCATCTTGCACCCGAGGTAAAGACAAATAAAAATATCGTCTCTTTCCTTCCACTACACTAATTTTTGTCGTAATGTTTATATCTTGCCGTTTAGCTAAAAGTTGTATTGTTGGTTCGATGACAGGAGTGTTTACATTGTACTCGACCGTTTTGTTGTCAAGTTTGGCCCTTTCCACAAGTATCCCTTCTCATCTGAAAATGGATTTTTTTTCCGTTTTAAGAAAAATGCGCGTCTTTAAGTTGCGTTTTTGAATCGTCTTTGCCCTTTCACACGAAAACGCATTGATGGGAGTATCTGCATAATGGTGTCCAACACAGTGACGCAATAGTTAGTAAAAACCTCCAGTTTCATCCATCTACACCAATACAGCAAATTGGCATTTTCAAAAAACCTCCACTCCGGAGAGAATTTTTGAAAAGATGCGTTTTCGTTGAACGCCGTTTTCACCGGATGCGTGTGGACGCCGGTAGGCCAAACTGGAGAAGAAATCTCAGCTTTCATGCGAAAACGGATACGTGTGAGCGGGGCCCGGCTTAGTAAAGGGTAGACTAAGTACATGTGTATCAGGTCTTCCTTAGGGATAAAAGGAGAGGAGATTTCAAAACTTTTGATATTCGGGTTAATAAAGTGTTCATTTTGAGTTTAAGCCACATCACGTTTACGGCTAATAGCAGGTATTTCTACGCCATCATTTTTCCGGCTGTTTAGTACGCCGGCTTGCCGTTTATCTTTGACAGTTTTTCATGTGAAGAGGGACGTTTTCACGTTTTTGAAGAAAGAGTGAGAGAGAACTGTACTTTTTGTTCTTCTCAAACACTTGACCATCTTCGCCTGAATTTCAGACATCACTTACGAGTCGTTTACGTCACTGAGGGAGTAAACGACTCGATTGTCGGAAATTCTGTGCCGTTTTCTGTATTTGAATACTACCCGCGCAATGGTTCTAAACACAGCTAAACACTAACGTTACGTCAATGGCAAAGGCCCTTATTGGAGGAAAATTATTAACTTTTTTCCGATTTTCCCCCTACAATTTAGAGTGCTTGTGACTGGAGTTTTAGCTGATCGCAGACCAGCTAGTTTACATTTCTTTCGGAACTTTGATGTACCAGATGACCACGATGAAGCTACCCATGCAAAATCTCCATTTCCGGCGCCGCCAAAACCTTCAGGTACCTTATAGGTTGTATATTGATAATTACATCGATTATGCAATGGAAAATAATCACTTGGACGTGACAAACTTTTGGAGGGAGTCAATCAAGACATTATTAGTGAATAAATGAGAAGTGAAGCAGAGAAAATATTATACATAGCTGGCCTCTTGTTAGTTTCCGTTTGATTTTGTTGAAGTGTGGAACAGTTACCTTTCGTATTGCATAGTAAACAGAGAAAAAACAGGGGCACCCAACGTCAATTTTCGGAAAATATCTGTTCGGAAGATGATTGGAGATCTAGAATTTTCGGAACATTTATTGTAAAATTCCTTGCTTGCCTGCCTCTCCTAGGATTTTCGAACATCTAAAAAATGGTATAATTACCCATTTTTAACGGATTTTTACCCTAAAAAGGTGACCTAGAATTTTCGGGAACCTTTTTTCTGGCTGAAATTTTCGGAAAGGTAAGTTTTGATCCCTATAATTTTCGGATCACTAGACTTTCAGCCGAGGGAATCCGAACAGATGAAAAATTTGTAGGGGGATAAAAATATGCCTATATCTACCGTTTAAATACTAAAATACGTTCAAAAATGCTATGTTTAAGTGGTTTTGAACTATATTCTCGTTGGGTGCCCCTGAAAAAACTAGTGAGCGTATTCAAATTTAGCGACAGCTTAAAATACTAAAAAGACATTTCATTCACGACAGAGAAAAACAAGTTGTAGCCTAGGAACATTGACCAGCATTCGTAAAGGAGAATCAAGCATCCCTTAAGTGTGCCAAAAAACCCACGTTTCTTCAGTTTGGGAAATCCCCAGGGGGTTGGGGGTACTCCGGATTTTAATTGACGGGGATGATCAAATGGGGGCAAAAATCAAAATTAAAAAATTAAAAAAATCTCTGGACCAAAAATTAACCGCCCGCCAAAAACCCCATGCCGAATTTCCGAGCCTTAGAAATTTCCAGTAATCATTTATGAATTGAAGCGTTGTTTACACCTCTTATATTAACCGGTTTCATAAAAGAGACGTAATGTTATGTGCTAAAAATTAAAACAGCCGCAAAACAAGCTTGCTTGTACTTTATTCGCTCGCGGCCAGGATACGCAGGGCCTATCGCGAATTTTCAACTTGTTTTGAATACCCAAAGTTTTCAAATTTTCCTACCCCCCCCCCCCCCCAAATCCTTCGATTATCCCCGTCACTTGAAATCCAGAGTACCTCCCCATGGGAGTAAACCAGCCAGTCCGTTGTCTCTGTTAAGAAATTTAGTACAAAATCACTTTCCTCGCTGTTGCAGATCAGCTGGTATGGCGTGCGGCCAGGGGAACCGGTGCCGCTCCTTCCTTTTTCCGCGCCATGGGTCAGTTCCTTGATGGAGGATTAATCGCTAACAACCCAACGTTAGACGTGTTAACGGACATCCATAAGTATAACAGTAATGTTCGAGGTGATCTAGCCTGTCCGTTCGGTCTGGTTGTGTCCCTCGGAACGGGAGTCCCGCCCCCGATGCGTGTCACGTCTTTTGATGTGTTTAAGCCAGAGTCCATATGGGATGCAACTAATGTACTCTTGGGAGCTCGTGCTTTAGGAGAATTACTTGTTGATCAGGTATGTACGTCTAGACCTTATTTACGACACCCGCCATCTTGCGCGCGCTTTAGGACTGATGTTACAAAAGCAATTTCACGTGGTATTTCAGGGGGCAAATAAGAGATAAAATTTGCCAATACGCCTTATCGTGGTCGAGTTTGTTTATTATCTCAAAACGAGACAACAATTGAATAGTCATGCACCCACCCCCCCAGAAGTTTGCATAGCCATTATTTCCAATTTCTCCTGGGTAATAAGTCGTCCCAAGAGAAATCGAAGACAATGGTTCTACAAAATTTTGGGGGGTAAACAAGGTCAGGAGCCGATTGCGTGACAAGTAATCGGCTCCTGGCAAGGTGCACTATGGTCTATGTGAAAATGGTGAATAAAAGAAGCAATAGTGTCCCAAAAACATTCCCATAGTGCAGATCGACATATGTCTGACCGAGTCTCACGCGCCACCTTAAATTGGCGAAAAGGGTCCAGTTTTTCGGCGGTTTCTTTGCTGTCTGCCTGAGGGGAGACTATTAAAATTCAACGAGAAGCAACTTCACTTGCAGTATCAGTTTGAGAGGAAGTGCGTTATAAAAACAACAACTATGCTTCGCGGTTGAAATGATCATGAATGCTCAGGGAAGAACTTTACATTATTGATGATGTTTTAAACGGAAGCGGAAATGTTTTGACAGGGTCCTGTATAGAAGAGCAGGGTTGACTTCACAAAAAACTAAATTTTTGAATGAAGTTCCACAGGCTACAAATAAGCCTGTTAGTGCAATTTGGTGGGAAGATGTAAGCAACTTTATTCTCCGATTACTCCATATAAATCTTTTTAAAATAGGCCTGGATCGTAGTTTTAGAAGGATTTATATGGAGTCATCAGAGCATAATGGTGGTTATATCTCCTCACGACTTTAACCTAATAGGCTGATTTTCGTCAAGGAGGCTTTGTTATATTGTTTCTGAATATGCCAACCAATCCCTTGATGTCACAAAGTTGAATTTTTTTGACATCACACCTCTTTACTCTATTTCATTTGCCTATTTGTTTGTCCTCTTTATCCAGGCTACTGCTACACACGGGCCGGTTGTTGAACGTGCGCGGGCCTGGTGTCAAATGGTGGGCGTACCTTACTATCGCTTTAGCTCTCCGATGTCATCCGATGTTGGTCTAGATGAGACTGATGATCGCATTCTCGTTAAAATGCTGTGGGAAACAAGGGTTTATGTTTTGCAAAACTTCAAGGAGTTCACTGAGTTGGGTAAAAAGTTAACCTCGTGATCTGATTTAACCCAGCAGTGAGACTGATTCAGATTTCTTGGTTGTTGCAACTGTGCATGTAACTTCGCGTGCAAGCAATTCCTCCAGTGTGTTAACAGTAGGGTGGCATTTCACCTCAACTTATATCTTAAATTATTAACTGACTTAACTTATTTAAACGCAGAGAACAAGATATCTCAACAACAACAAAAAATATATATTTCCTCACTTACATCACATTTTGNATGTCATCCGATGTTGGTCTAGATGAGACTGATGATCGCATTCTCGTTAAAATGCTGTGGGAAACAAGGGTTTATGTTTTGCAAAACTTCAAGGAGTTCACTGAGTTGGGTAAAAAGTTAACCTCGTGATCTGATTTAACCCAGCAGTGAGACTGATTCAGATTTCTTGGTTGTTGCAACTGTGCATGTAACTTCGCGTGCAAGCAATTCCTCCAGTGTGTTAACAGTAGGGTGGCATTTCACCTCAACTTATATCTTAAATTATTAACTGACTTAACTTATTTAAACGCAGAGAACAAGATATCTCAACAACAACAAAAAATATATATTTCCTCACTTACATCACATTTTGCTATTTTTCCTTCCAGAACACTGTTTACAAATTATATTCTGTAAAATAATCAAAATCAAGAGTGGAAATGAAATAGTTCTATATAGTTCTATAAGGAATTTTTGTCTAACATGTTACAATTAACTGGATTTCGTCAAGTGATGTAAACGTTTGAGTTGATACAGCTTTAGACGGCATGTGAATAGTTTTAACTTTATATAAATACATATCTTTATCTTATCTTTTACTAACATCTCGCCACAATTAGATTACTCGGAACTCCTGTTCGTGAAAAAAGCTCCGCCAAAGGAGTGCTTAATGACCTTTGTCTGCTCTAAAGGCTATTAAGTACGAAAAAGTTAATATGGAAACAAAAAAAAAAAATGAAAAGCTATGATAGAAAAAATATTAAAGGTGTAAAGGGCAAGTTAGTTTAACCATGATGTTTAACGATTCAGCGGCATGAGTCTAAGACTACGAGGGGTTTTTACCAAAGCTTTTAAATCCCTTAGCATTTCTAAAGCAAAATGAGTATAGCCAGAGAATTATAAGCGTTTTAAAGTAAATGGTAAGAAAACATTTGTATTCAAAGAGTAGGGCTTTTTAACTTAGAGAATGTTGTTGAAACCGTATCATAACAACCTTAATGGAAAACAGCAAATATATATTTCAGTGACTGTGTTTTTTAATGAGGAAAGGTTTTTTATACCTAAGGACCGTTATTTAAACACTTTAATATGACTAAACTTGATAACCTTACATGTAGCGACTTTCATATGAAATTTTTAACACATGGACAAAGCTTAAAAATTAAAACAAATGTGTCAATATATGGGGCGTCACGAAACTCTCATAACGAATAGCCCATGTTCGGTAGCCTGCGTTCGGTAGCAGGCGCTTGTCTCCCTCGCGCGCGCGACGCGCGCGCCCGTTCTTTCTTGCTCCCATTTACTTCCTAGCGCTTGCTACGCAGGCTACATGTTCGGTATATTGAAATTCTAACATGAATCCGATGCTTTCTGGTCATATTTCTATATTTGGTTTGGTTTTCGCTGTGCTCAAGTCTCTTCTGGGAATTGCGAAACAATGGAGTCGCAAAAAATTTGGAATTTTTGCTCCAAAAGTCTCGGAGTCATGTTAGAATTTTCATATTTCGAACTTGGGGTTTAAAGGACTTGTGTCACGGCAGGGGAGTGTCTAGTTACTTTTTTAAATATTTCTAAATTAGCCTCTCGCGGCTTCGCTGCTCGTGGCGGCGGCGCCGCTAAATCTCACTCGACTAGTACACAATACCGCCGGCTACGCAGGCTATGGTGCCAGGCGTTCCTTGCGGAGACCGTGGAAACTGGGACTAAGAATCGTTGCGTGATCGAAGCCACGCATGTTTAGCGAAGAAAGCTTAGGAAAGAAAAATTTAGAGCTTTCCGAAACGTGTCGGTCCACGAATTCTATTGCTTGAAAGCGTCGATTACTTTGGGACAAGTGGACACGACTGAGTGGTGAGCAAAACTGCGATGGTCGGGTAAGGAGCATACGATTTATTTTCGGCGATGATTGAAATGACGTACCATGTAAATAACTTTTTTGATCTCTGGCAATGATGTATCGTTTAGCAATGATGTAATTTCTCTGGAATCGAGGCCCCTGAAATTTCGTGTACACGCGTATAGCCTAACACGCGTACTAAATCAATTCAGAAGCAAGTAAAAAGTATCGACGTCGATAGAGTATAGTAGGAAGTAAAAACCTTTAGAACATTGAAATTTTCAAAGCCTTGATTCTGGCTATGACTATTTACATTTTTACACATCCCCCAAACGTATATCAAGTATTTTGGTGACCCCCGCTTTTTAACAACAGCAGTCCTATTCAGGACTACGTTCACCCAGACGATCAAACCCAACCTACTTTTGAAATGACTCCCTGGTTCAAACCTTTCACTATTTTTTTTGTTTAACACCACCAGAAGAAAGACGCAAGGTGGGTCATTTTGACTTCAAACATTTGGAAAAATCAGAACTCAAGATGTATTTTGTTAATTCACGTACACTTCCTTCTAACGACTATCATTAGGTCTGGGATTTCTGTGCCCTACTGTATATGCCCCCAGCCCCGCTAGCCACTCTTCCCTGACGAAAAAAAGCAACCCTTTTCTGACTTTTTCCTGAGGGGAGGAGGCTGTACAAAGGGCGGGCGGTAGGCGTGTTTAAGGCGTGACTGGGGGCTCGTCAGTACAGGTGGTAAATCGAGAAATTGCACGAGACAATCCCGACAGGTATTGTGGGTGGCTTTGAGGGCACTGTTCTTCAGAGAAATTTGAAAGAATGGTACGGGAGGCCAAGGACATATGTTTGCGAGTACTAAAGGAAAGCAACAAAAGTACTAAGGTTCGACGAGGTTCGCCAGCTACAGTCGTTTGATCATATCCCATATTACCTTTCGGGGTTGTCGCGTGCGCATCTCTTCCGACAATCTGGCCCCTCTCTTTCTGTCACGCAACGCCGGGAGAGAGGGTCCAGGGACGTGTGATATCATGTTTCGTCCCTTGCGGTGTATCACCAATCACTCGTTTCGCGCTCGCCTCTGCCATGTCTGCCATACGAAAAACGAAGCGCCTGAGGAGGAGGCTGTTTCAGAGTGTTTTGACAGAATCAACGAGATTTCCGGCGGCCATGAGAAGGGGCTCGTTTTAGAAAACTGAGAATCAACCCGATTTGACGAGTGTGCAACTCATGTGATCTCCTTGTGACATTATTTAAGTGTCGGAGATTATGCACATATGAGATGGACAGAACGAATGTGTTTTGCATCACGTAAAGTCAACTCAGCAAAATGGCTACAGTGTCGAGACTGCTGATTGTTGTGTTAATTTTCCTGTGTGCTCTCAAGTACTCCGAGTCAAGATCTTTTGTTATAGATTTCGAGAACAACTGCTTTCTCAAAGATGGCAAACCTTTTCGTTACATCGCTGGATGCTTTCACTATTTCAGAGTTCCTCGCGTGTACTGGAAAGACAGGCTCATGAAAATGAAAGCAGGCGGTTTAAACTCAGTCCAAACTTACGTCGCTTGGAATATTCACGAACCAGTTCATGGCCAGCACAACTTCGAAGGCGATGCAGATCTTCAGGGCTTTATTGAACTCGCTAACAGCGTTGGACTTCTAGTGATTCTCAGAGCCGGACCTTATATTTGCGCCGAGTGGGAAAATGGTGGGTATCCTTCATGGTTATTGATGAAGAACTCATCGATTTCCTTAAGAACCTTGGAGAACAAGCAATATCTATCGTATGCAGAGTCCTGGCTGAGCGTGCTATTGCCCATGCTGAGGCCATTGCTGTACTCCAATGGGGGACCAATCATAGCGGTCCAAGTTGAAAATGAGTATGGGTATTTCGGGGGATGTGAGCTGAACTATTTGAAGTTTCTTGAAGAGTTGTTTCGTAAATACCTTGGTAGTAATGTTATTCTTCTTTCAAACAATGGCGCCAGAGAGTCTTCATTAAAGTGTGGTACTATCCCTTCTCTGTATCCCGCTCTGGACTTTGGCGTTGGAACTAATTTAGATAAGGCGTTTGCCCTAAAGCGGAAGTTTGCCCCCAGGGGACCCTTGGTAGTCACTGAGTATTACCCAGGGTTTTTGGATCGGTGGAGTGTACCTCACCAAACCAGATCTACACAGAGTGTTGATCAGACCTTTGACAAAATGCTGGCAATGAATGTGTCTGTAGCATTTTACATGTACATGGGAGGTACTAACTTTGGTTACATGAACGGTGCACGATACCTGCGGACAAAACAAACATTACTGCCGAGCATTACGAGTTATGATTATGATGCACCTTTGACAGAAGCTGGTGATACAACTACAAAATTTCATGTCCTAAGAGAGACAATTGCCAAGTACGAGAAAATACCCGATATTCCCATCCCACCAAACACTACAAAGTTTGCATACGGTAAAGTTCAAATGACACAGCTGTCAACCTTCCTTGATGCTGCACCAATTCTTTCTGCTCCCAATGGCCCTGTGAATTCAACCTTTCCTTTAACCATGGAACAAATTGGACAAAGCTATGGATTCATTCTTTACCAAACACAAATTCCGGCAGAGTTTGCTCAGTCAACTGTTGTCTTGAACATCACTAGCTTAGCACGTGACCGAGCCATTGTGTATGTGGGAAAAATTCGCCAAGTTACAATGTTCCGTGACCTTAAAGATCAGACTGCATCTCTTGTCATTGGGAAGGAGTTGCAGCTTGATATTTTGGTGGAAAATCTAGGAAGGGTTAGTGACGGTTATCAAGAGCCTAAAGGGATCGTTGGCAACATTACAATAAATGGTGCTGTTCTTGTCAATTGGAAGATATATCCTATAAACTTAGACAATCTCGTTTCAGCTACAGATGGCTATCTTAACACTTTAAATCAACACCAAAAGGGGTTATTTGCACCTACCTTTTTTCATGGGGAATTTTATGTTAATTCCTCATATGACACATTTCTTCACCTGCCTGGATGGACTAAAGGGCAAGCGTTTGCAAATGGTTTTAATTTGGGTCGCTACTGGCCTGTGATTGGTCCACAAATCACACTGTTTGTACCAGCAAATGCGATATCCCTCAAGAAGAAAACTGCCAGTGTTGTGTTATTGGAGTTGGATGGTGCTCCTTGTGAATCTCCTGAAACTTGTTTTGTTGAGTTTGTGACAACTCCTATTCTAAATGGGACTGTACATCCTATAGTAGATGGTGAATTCAATGTGAAGACTATAAAAACTGAGAAATTTCATTGACCCATATATGGAAATTACAGTGTTACAGTCAAACCGGGAAAACTGTGAACACCAGAAGTATTTCTGGAATGTCATTGTGCTGCAAGAAAAAAGCCAATCAGGCGTGAAAAAACTGAACCGCAAGCTAGAATATTAATTTAGTTTGGGGTTTTGTGGCTAGTTCACATGTCCTGTTCTTTGCTGTGATTAGTCATAACACAATAAACATTCCTGAGATCAAGTGTTCATGGTTTTCCTGGTTGCACTGTAATACTGTTTGATATTTGCACTGAATAGGTCATCCATGGATCAAAACATAGAACCAGCTGACTTAATTTGTGAATCTTTGTTAATTGTGCAAATAACTTGTTTTCACATGAAGCGTTTTGTACTTGACCTAAGTTAATTCACTAAAAAGTTACTGAACATGGAA